TTGAGGTAGATCCCCAACCACCAGCGGTCGTACGTCAGATTTACACACAATGTACATGTACATGTACATGTACATGTACATGTACACTCGAAACTCAGAACACAACTCCACAGAGCTCTGGTTGGCACGCTACCATCTTGAGCAGTCCTGGCAACCCACGCAGCCTGCGCCCAGCCCCAAGGTAATGCGCGCCTCTGATTGGTTGCCGCTGCATGTTTAATGCATGAATTTAGACGTGCCTGAATTATTAATGACCCAGACTAAACACAAGTCTGCGCAGCTACCCTGTTTCGCCACAATATTTGATTGATAACTCGTTGAAAAATATAGCCAGACCTATCTTTAAGCGCAAATAGGTTCTTGAGCATGGTCCATCAGGAATGGACCACGCTCAACCGCCTAAGAACCGAGGTGGGCCGGTTCGGCGGTACTTCCATGAGTCGAGAAACGAGAAACAGAAACCCTTGTATGCAACCAGCCAGAGCAGTCGGCCCAACATATCATGGGTGAGTGTCCCATCCTAAAACCACCTAATGACATTGATCTAACAACACCTGACTCATCAACAGTGAGCTGGCTGTAACACCTGAACAACAGAATTGACATCTAGTCCTTTGAGACAGAGAAGCATTGGGCCTAAATAACCAGTCTATCAACGGCTGTTGCTTCTGCAGAGTAACTCTCTAAAATGAAACCGGCCAAGCCAGAAAAATTGACCTCTTGAAAATGAATGAAATCAGTTTTTTCGCTGAGTAGCCAATGTAAAAATTAACAAAAAGTGTTCACCATCTTCTTGCTACGATAGGATAACAAAATCGTTACGAGAAAATTGAAAGGTTTATCAAACTCCTTCAATGCGTCGAAGCTTATTCTACACTTTCAATTTCACAACAGAACTTTCACGGGATTGTGGGAGGACACGATCCAACCATTTAAAAATATATCTCGCATTTTATTTTTTAAATAACTATCTTGCTGCGGCTAGCTACTATCTTGCGCAAGGGTGCATTAAAATGACCACGTCTAGTGAACCACCTTTAAATATGCGTTGGCCGTGGTCCGTCTGTGCTTCCGTAACATTACAAGGGTTCCTGTACAACTGACCAACACGTATAGTACCTGTATGTCAGGAGTTATTGTTAAGCCTTATTAGGTGCCCAAGTTTTACCAGAGTTCGTTTGCCGGTTTTGCGATCACCAGTAATAAGTTTCTTTCAACTTCGTAAGGTCCTGCTGTGGTCGTTTAATTCGAGGGAAATCTTGATAACTCGGGCTATTTCGTTTGCACCCAGATCCAAGAATCATGGACCATTAAAGCAAACATAGAGAAAGAAAACACTGTTTTTATCTACCTCTTTGAAGAAAAATTTTAATCGGGTGATTGACTGTCGGACAGAACATGGAACAGAAGCTCATACCAATACGAAAAATAGTGAATCACAGAAAGGACGGAACATCAAAGTAAATGTATTAAGAAAAGGAGGGCAAGGTGGTGTTGGCCACTTCACCCACAATCATTTCGCCGAAGCGCCACTTCTCAAACACAATATTCGCTTGGTAATAATACATGCATTACAGGCAAGTAGGCCTGTGACAAATCTCTGCATAGTTTACTTTCAAAGTTCCACTGTGTGCAATTTTTTTTTTTAAGATACAATGATCGAATCCATTAAGAAGCAGAAGTGGCAAATGGGCGAAGTGATGTAATGGGTGAAGAAAATGGAAAAATGTGCAAAGTGGCAGGATTCAACCATGAAGTTTTATTAAATGGACTCAATAAATAACAAGAGAGACAGACGTAGTCCAGGAAGACAGAAAACGAGATGGAGAGACGAGATTATCCAGTTTACGGGCGTGACACAGGGACAGGTCCCGGATTTTACAAGAGGGATGGGGCGAGAGCTCGGATTTCTAAAAGGGGGCCAGGTCGTGAACGAAAGAAGCAATGGGTAAAATGCGCTTGGGGTCGGTGGAATTTTTGGATTCCAGGTGCTCTGTGGTGCCATTTCAGGCAATATGACCCCTCTTTTTATTCTCCCTCCCTCTTTTTTTAATTGGGGTGAAAGGAGGGGTGCGACCCCCCCCCCCATCTGCCCCTGTGACTTGTACAGTCGAACCTCATTAATAAGAGGTCCTTCAGACTCGGCAAATTACCTTGTTATAACAGAACATTGCACTATCAGGAATGAAAACAGAGAAAAACAAAGGATTGGGACGACTTTACGTGGATCAGGGCAGCACAAGTTAGTGCCAGCTTAGGCAGGCCTTTGCCTTGCAGTGGGCAAAAGATAGCTGAAAAAGTTGATGATGAAATCATAAATATCGCTGGTGGATACTTTAAAATCATGGGCGGAGATTTTTTGTCACATGTAGGGGGATGATTTCCGAAAGCTCAAAGCTCGGCCTCCATCCCACGTGGCATTGTGACGCGAGTGGTGGGCGGTACGTAGTTTAGGCTACAGGGTGCGCATGAAGTCAGTGACTTGAAAAGTGAGGCGGGGGGAATTATATTGGTTATTCCCCTCCCAAACATTTAGGGGTGGGATATATTGCCTCCACCCCCGGGATCTCTGCCCATGCCTAACATGGACAGTATTTGCTTGTAATGCACCATTTTGGGGAAGGGATACACTGTATTACACCACTGCACTGCGTTGAACATCACAAGCAAAGAATATGCATATAAATTTATGGAAATGCTTATGATGACGTCAACAAACGCTTCTTTGAAGGGAACAATATCTTGTCCAATTTGTCTTTTATTCTAATTCTTTACATCCCTTTTACTGTTTGCTATTTGGGCAGATTATCTATCTTATCAAAATAATTTAAGAAAAGTCCTCTCAAGGTTGTACAAGGTACAGCAACGAACATTTTACGAAAGTATGGCATAAAAATATACATTTTAGTGAAATCTGGTTAAACCCTACTGTGAGTAATCAAACTATGTACAAAAGGCATTTTCTTCTGAAGCACGTGGGACTTAGACAAATAAAAAAATAGAAGCGTAGAAAAATAAACTACCTAAAGTATACACCTGGGTATAAAACTACAAAACAAATCAAATGAATACTAACGTGCTATGGTATAAGGGACACATCAAATATTGAAGCTTAAATTGCAGATTTTAAAATAAGGAAAGGAAAATGGTAGAACCTTTACACGCCAGTACGTACATTGTTTAAAAATCCAGATACATCTATGCTGAGTGACAGATTGATCGTAAGCCCGGCAAATAGAAATGAGTTTCCTAACACCGTATTTATCCCTATTCTTTTCTTTTCCCTGAAAGCCTACACGCTGTCCTTACCTGACAACATTGACTGTACAAGTGTTAATTTTTTCTCTAGATCACACATATCAGTGTTGAAAATCACTTTTCAAAGGCAACCTGACCACCTTGCCGTTGCGAAAGACTCTTGCTATTATGGAAATAAGAAGCCTTCGATTCTTTCAGAGTCACTTGACTCAGCAGGCAGCTGCAAACCTTGTTTTTTTCATATTTCAAAACACACCCATAACCTGATGGAAGATACGGGTGTTCTTCAAAATGTTAGAGGCAAGAAAGTTGAGGAATATTTCAGAGTATGGGTGTGGCTCATATTCATGATTGGAAAAAAATATACTTTGGGTGATATTTACACAAAAAGAGTAACACTGCACTGCACATTATGCTTTTGCAGTTTGATCCATCTTCCTCTGTCTATCATTACTCTCTCCGTCCACTACTTGAGTAGTCTTCTTTGTGTAGTTGATTGTACGTCCAACCAACTCCACTGCCAATTAATTATACTCACACTAACTGTCACTGGCTTCTGTGGTCCCTCAGATTTTTGTGGATAACCTTGCTATAACAGGATTCTTGTATTGTCAGGAATGAGGACGACTAACAAAGGATCGGGACCCAACATTTCCTTGTTTTAACAGTGCTCTTATTAACGAGGTTAATTGCATAGGCTGAATTAATATTTGCTCCTGTGGATTATGAACATGCACTATGAAAACAGACGTTGGATACAGTCTATTAAACAAATAATACCAACAAATTAATTTTTTGACATTCTCATTTTAAATTTCTCCTTGTCTGTCATAATTCTTAATGGTCTGTTTCTTTCATCCTGTTTTGCCTAGTTTATGACATTTCCTATGAAGATGTACTTATCAGGACCCGGACCCATTTCAGCATTTACCTTTTACTATTGAAATCAAATGATTGCCACTAATACTTCAGTTACTGATGACATAATGTCATTATGGCATTAAATTTGCAAGCTATGAATTACAGTTCCACATGTTGAACTGCATACATGCTTTTTTGCCACGACAATGACAAGCTCTGTAGCGAGTTTGAAATTCAATGCGGGCGATTCACAATAGCGCGCCCCCACGAGTCTGCAAAGTGTTGGCCAATCACAATGTGCGAAATTTGTCGACCCTTTCCGAACGCGCATTGGGTCAACAGAGTTTGCGCATTGTGATTGGCCAATGCGTTGCAGACTCTTGGTGGCGCACTATTGTGAATCGCCCATATTGAATTAACCCATATCAAGTGGTGTTCTGTTTTACTTCAGAGTTGCCGACTTGCCCTTCTTCGGTGGGTAGGATTTCATATGGTGCCTCAAGCTCTGCAAGTGTCCTGCCCTTGTCAGGCCATCGCTGCTGTCAGACGACAGACCAGTTCCGTGCAAGCTATTGACGAGGCACTCCAGATTGGCGATCTGGCAGGAAAAATCAGGAAAAATCGGAGGAATCAATTCTTCCCTTCGGCAGTTACCAACATTTTGTCATTTGTCACTGAATAAATGATTCTGATCACTGACTGACAGTGAAATGTCCAGAAATGTTCAGAAAAGGATTACCAGTCCTCTCATATTCTGCGAAACAGATTAGTGGCTGAAGCGCCACCCACTGGTAGGTTCACATAATGTTAGACTGGTTCCCGTCCTACAATTGTTTTCCTCTTACTTACTATGAATAAAATATATGAAATGGGGGCGGGAACAAAGATAGTGAATTAGATACTATTCAACAGTGCCCTTTAAATAAATGAATAATTCAATGACATGTGATCAACAATCCACCAATCAGATGGCTGGGATTCATGCAAGTATTGAATAATTTATGATTTCCAAGCCCGCATATGAGTCAATCTGACCTACCTGTGCTTCCAACATGTTAAACCTTCCTTCAATAGCTTTGTTAAGCCTTGCACCTTCAAAGTGCTTGGTCATTTTGGATGACAAAGCCTCAAGCCTGTTAAGAAAACCAAAGTTTTTTACATTTTCAAGATCTCTAACTTTCTCAACATTCTTCATCACTGAAAAATATAAACTTTTTTCAATCAATCACAATCATTCGGGGAAATAACAGAATAATGGTCAATCTGTACAACACATTTCATCACCGTTTTCAAGAAGAGACAGGCTTGATATGCTGCACAAACCTAAACTTTCGAGAAAATTGCATGTTAAGTTGGCTACTTTTGCAACAGAGACTTCATAGAGACTAACTGCAAAAGTTGATTAAGTAAGTACATTGCACAAACGTAAATCCATGTGCACACTGACGTGCCACAAAATGCCAGAAATTAAAGTGTCCACTACTTCATTTGAATGTAACTAAGGAATTAATTTATTCAACTGAATTTGTCCCTTCGCTAAAATTCAAACACAGGAAATATGCCATTGGCAACATGGGTACTGTTGCCACTGATTATGCAACATGCGGCTCGGTTACATATGTATATAATTTGTGAGTGAAATTTCCCTCTGTGAAATGAAAAAACTTCATGAAAACAAAAAATGTGGCTTAGATGTCTGCCAGAGATGCATGTGATTCCACTTAGATTTGGTCAAACATCAAATCATACGCATCAGACAAACTAGTCAATTACGCTAACATTCAGACACTCTAAAATGTGCCGATTTGGGGCTAATTTGTCCCTCTGTGAAAACAATGTTTTTTTCTTTCACAAGACAGAAATCAAGTGTCTAGTGAAGACCCAAATACCCAAAGTGCTTTTGAGGCCTCAGCTGGTACTGAGATTTTCTTGAAGAATTTCTTGAGACTTCTTCAAGCCCAACTGTCTTCCCTATCAGTTTCTAAGATGAATGCCTTCTGGATTTGCCAGTCCTCATCATTTCTTTTTGTAAAAATTTACCCTGGGAGATCTGACTTCCAGGAAGATGAAAGATTTCTTGAGACTTGGGGGATGAAAGGGAGGGGTGTGATACTCCGTCTGACTGCTCCATCAATCTTGCCCACCCCTTCCCCTTTGCCATCCAGAGGTTTGCTTTCAATTCAAGCAAGCAACCAAACTAGGCCGATATTTGTCCACGGTGAACAAAAAAACCAAAAACCGCCAAGACTCTGTGAGATAAATTGATCAGTACGTGGACGGACTCACTTCTCGTCAGTTTGCTTCATTCTCTTGTGGGATTCTCGGTTAGTCAGCTTCTTCTGCTCGGCCAAATAGTCTTCACCCGTGACTTCCTCCCACGTTGAGATCTCAATCTGCTTGTCCTGTTGCAACTTTCTCTCTGGAGAGTTAAAAAAAAAAAAGACAGACACATGTAAGGAGCTCACAGAGGAACAATCCCTTTGAGGTCAGATCAACTGCTACCCTCAGAATTATCCTTTTGAAAAAAAGCCATCTTTCTGTTTTCCTCTAATGGGAGGTGAGGAAAGGAACACTTGAACGGCTTTACAAACTGGACGTGAAATAATAGATTTCCATAGTAAATTCTCACATTCTGGTGAATGCTACGTGCACCTGTAAAAGTTTTGTTCAGTGGTAAAAGGCATTTCTTGGTTACCCATTTCACATTTCAGTCCCTCGGTAAGTACCTTCTTCCATTCAAACCAGTCAACTCAAGTCCTACATTAAAATGCAGATGGCAAGGGAAGCAAGATTTAGACAGGCAACAAACTAAGGCCATCTTCTGAGGACTACAGAACCAAAGGGAAATGATAGCACGTATCGACGACTTACTCATCAGGTTGGCAGACCTGTACAGTGTGCATCCAGGGAAGCACTTGTCCCAGGCCCACCGTATCATCTGGTAAACATGCATCACGATGATCAATGGAGGAACAACAGAGGGCCGCTGGTAATATTCCTTGACCAACTGATAACGCTGGAACTTCCAAAAGGTATCGGTGTTGTCTTGAATGGCCTGGAAGGTGTAACTAAGGTGAAAGGCAGAGTGTTCGGAAAAAAATTAGTAAAAAGAAGAAGGGTGTATTAACGTAAAGACTTGACCTAAAAAGCCAATGCAACATCATCATTTAACGTCCTTGGATGCCAGTACCAATCCTTGATTTTTAAACTGATTTTTATCGATACCAATAAACCCTTCTAAATTCTACACTATTTGAATATCAACTAGACTTTCGGTTAATTAATGAATTTGTTGTGACTGAATAAACTCACAGCATGAGTCACATTTAAGTTGTTGAATCTGGCTTTAAAAAACTTTTGCAAGCTAATGATTGTTAAGATGGCCTTGAGTTCAGGGCTGGCTTCACCTTCAGGGGTTTCACATTTTTGTAAAAATCCGGGTGCAAGAAGTTTTACTTACAGGAACAGAGGAAATCGACAAATTTCACTGCTCAAAAAAGGCTACTGCAAATTTGTATTACTTGAGATGACTGAATAACAAACGAATATTCCATCAGACGTCTCGTTTCCATCACAAAAGCTTGCCGGTATTCAGTGTTTAGCCTTAAACAATGAGCAAAACTCAGCTGAGGAAGGAAACGTGTGACAAGTCCTCTACTGTCCAATGTCTGCACACTGAATATGTATATGTGGGTAGGCCGTCAACACATCAAAGGGATGGTTTCCCTTGTTGGGAAAGTTGGGACTGAGTTGTCAAGACAACAATGTAACTTGCTAACTTTTAGATCCCCAAAACGTCTATGTTTCAGCATGTGGGTTTTCCTACAACTATAAAATTATGATGGGTGTTCACACACATACACACAGGAAGACAAGACAAAGGCGGTAGATGCATTTGGCCTGAAACATAACAATGAAGACAGTGACAGAAACACATGCAGTGAAAGATGAAATCATTAGGCTTGGTTTGAGTTTTTTCCAACTTGCTGGAGGCATACTTGAGCATTGCGATGAGAAGGTTGAGCAGTAAAATGTTGCTGATGAACAGGTAGAATGCCAGGATGAGGGTTCCAAACCATGAATGTTGGGGGCAACGTTGCATAGACCCGACATTCGCTGACTCCAGCAGTGCGCACTCTTCACCTGATCGGATGAATCAACGACGGGGGAAAAACTGCATTAATTCCTCACAAGCAAGACTTGCAGTACGGCAAGCATAGGGTACATATGCATATGTAGCTATCCATAGTAAGTGGTGAAGACACCTTCAGAAAAGTTGCTGGACTGTTAGTTAATCAACAGACCAATCCAGTAAGCCCCACCCACGGGTGCACACACATGGGCACTAAGCACAAGCTCTTTCCCAGAGTGACCCCACATGCTCCCGCCGCACGCATCATACGCGCGTGCGTGTCAGACGTTTGTGCATGCTTGTTGGACATAAAACAAGGCTGTGGTTTGTGAGAAAACAATGGAGCATGACGTGATGGATCGATTTATCCGAAGACTGAAATTTGGCGTTGTATGCAATCATGTCTATTTACAAGGTATAGCATGCACATACATTAGTACATCTCACGCCAAACGCTCATAAGCTGTGCACCACACGCATCGAGTTCCAACCACTACTGATGTAGCTACATGTATCTTAAAACCACCCTCTCATTCCCACTCCAAGCAGAGAGCAACCAAAGTTGGACAGACCCAAAAGTTGGACAACGGGACAGATGATACGACAACAGTTTCGTGAACGTACCATAGAGGTAATAATTGTTTCACTGGCACGGATTAAAATGGTTACGTTTCTTGCCAATTCCATCGAAAAGTGGTTGTGGGACTGCATGTGCCCTATTTGCCCTACATAGAAAATTTACAGGCTGCTTGAATTGGCTCTGGTGAGGCATGCAAATGCACGTAGTTAGTGCTGCAGATTTAGTGCTAAGTAGTTCAGTGGATATACATGTACCTTTTAAAGCAAAGGTTCCAAGAGTGATTGGGCTAGTGCATGCTTCCATCTCTCCAAATCCAACCCCCCTTCCCCATTTTTTTGGAAAGAATGCACTTACTATCAATGTCTTCCAGGAAAAGCTCCCCGTACAGCTGGAAATAGGACTGGTAGAATACACCCTTGATGATGCCGACAATGTCTTGGTTGTTTGGGAAGAGAATAGCTTGGCAGGCTACTCCAAATGCCACCAGGAAGACCAGCAAAATAGCCAGGAAGGCCACCAGAAGTACCAACTGGTAAAAACATGTGGGACAAAAGGTCTCAAGCTAATAATAATTTAGTCATTTGTAAAGGGCCAATTCCATAAACTTATGCTCAAATGTGCTGTACAAGAAGACATGGAATTCTAACATGGTTGAGCTGTGGACATACAAGGGTGCGTCGGGTAGCCGCCAATGACCTACATCTGCACAGCCGGATATCAATGCATGTCAATGTCACCAACACCTGACTGCTTAACTGATCCAAACACACTCGAGCCTGAAAGTTGACCCTGATAATGCCCTTCGGGAACCCTTGTATAGGAAAGATAATGTGCACAAATTTCAGACGATGTAACATTTTTCGTTCAGTTACTTTTTGAAAAAACGAAACTCGGAAAAACGCCTTTGTAAAATCAAACGTGACAGGACGGCCTCCTGTAAAATCCCGATAGATGGCCTGCACCACGGTTCTGGAAGCTCACTGCACGACCTTTCACTTTCAGGCTCTACTTTTTACCTGTATTTCATCTCCTGGCAATATCATCCTTATTTGGGGGAATTGCAAGGGTTTCAATTCAAATCTCTTGCCATGTTTGCCTGTGTATACCTGTTTAGGATGTATCAAGCTAGTTAGTCTCTCAGCAAGAGCGATGGCAACGCTGATGATTTTATGCATAAAATGTCTACAATTCTACACAGAGGCAAGTGCCTGAGCCAACGAAATCTTGGCCTTGTTCTTACCATTCTGACAATCATGATTAGTTTGGGTCCCAAGAGCTTGCTGGCCGAGAAGATGTGGAGAATTCTCAAGTAGAAGACGACCAGGTCCAGAGCCAGAATGATGCGCGCTGCGTCCAACGTGACCGGGTGGAACCGAAGGCCCACACCAACGGCAAACATCACCAGGGACAGGAGATCCATGCAGTTCCAATAGCCCCACAGCCAGGCATCAAAGCGGTGATACACTGTCTGATAGTCCTCTTGAAAAATCTAGAGGTTTGAGGCCAAGCAAATTTTTGTGGGAAGGACCCAAATGACAAGTGAAAGACGGATCCAATGACCTGGGAAAGACAGACTGGCCTGATGGTTACGAAATGTTTGAATATGAGAACAAGTGTGAGCTTCCCGTCAATTATAAGTAGGAAGTTGGATACCTCATCTTAGCTTATGGCAGGAACTGCATAGACAAGGAAGCAGGTCAATCCACTCTGGGAGATCAGACACAAGACCATGCACAAGACCAGTCACAAGTAAACAGGGCGAACAATGACAAAGGAATGCTTTTGTTGCAGTTCATTTGAACAGCTTGTGGCTTGAATTCTTGAATTCAGACTAGAGGTCTTGTGTTGGTCTTGTGAAGGTCTGAAGTGGTCTCGACTACAACACTGTCCAGGAGAACCAAAAGTTACAGCATGGTGCATGCGAAGAGAAAACATGAAAAGTTTTGCGAATATACACCACTCCGTGGGCATACCTGTCGCACTTCCTCCGTGAAGAGTGTAAACACCCAGCCCATGAGAACCATTTCGTAGATGGAGACCTCCTCTGTAAAGTTGCAAAGAAGGATGTAGCTGAAGAGTCCCAGAAACAAAAAATGGGATATCTGTAAGGAAAAAACCAACAATATTGGGTGGATTTTTACAAAACTGACTGGAATATTGTTGCAGCAAAAGTGCATGTGGTTCTTCTTTCCTCAGAAGGGAAAGAGTTCCATTCAAAGTGGCATCCGTCTCTCAAGCATATGATTGGCATCAGCTGGAGGAATTGAAAGTCATGGCATAGTTGGGGTCCTCTCAACGAACTGACACAACAGGACAAGAGGTGAATGAACCCGCCAATCGGAGGTAGCACTTTAAATACCAGAGTCCCACAAAGATTGGCTTGCTCTTAATCAATAAAAGCCACACTGTACGACATTGCTATACTCTATACTCAACAGCTGTCACACACACGTGTGTGGACATTCAGGAAAATAAGGATATTTATGACAATGCAAGATTTTGTAGTGTTTTCCATCTTTCATGGTGTAAATAGGGAATACTAATAAGGAAATTGGCTAAGCTGACAAAAGCTTGCACGCCCTTGCTGTTTGTGATTCTCTTATGTCTGATCAGGGATTTCAAGATAATGACTGATCCCTGCGATGCTCAATGGCAGTGACACTGTCAATGGAAGCAGAGACCACATCATAGCTCTCATTTTCCCAGCAATGCAATTTTGCCCTTTGGTACTCAGTTCAGGGCATTTCCAGCTAAAAGGAACGACTGGGGAGGAAAAAGGCAACTATGGAGGAAAAACGAACACTCAACTTTTATTTGCAGGAAATGCCACACCATCCCTAACGAAATCAATGTCATCTGAATGATGGTTGTTCATCATGTGTCACTCAATTATATGTCTGAACATCTAATATGGTCACTTTGCAAAAATATAACCAACGTTCCATTCAAGGATACATGGATGTTACATTCAACCATAAATGGAAGTTCCATTACATGGTCATGCTACAGGGATTTATTAAACTCTGGATTTGCTCTGGTGGTAATGGGATTTCTGCAGGCATAGTATGAAGCAAATTACGCTCTACATTCATGCAATGGAAGGAATAATATCATTCAGCAACAGATGGACTGTTCCATTTCACATGGCAGGAACCCTCCATCTGTCATTGTGTAATTCTTCTGAGCACAGCACTCGTGGACATTCAATATTTGGACAGTGGCCTAAGTACCATGTTGAGACGGAAGCTGATAACTGGAGCCTCATAGAAGAGCTTCATTTTGTACCAGCATGGTAATCCATCCTCCTCGTGTTGTCTGTAAGTGACATGTGTCATGTACGTCTTCACACTTCCTGTGTCATCAGCGTCGTCAGTGTTGCATCTGCAATTTTTCCAAAAAAAAAAACACACTCCCAACGTCTTGATAAAAGGCATTCTATAAACATACAGACCTACGACAAGGAAAGCAATCAAAGGTCACTTCAAATCCCCACAGCTCCTTCACCAGGCAAGCTAACCTCATTAGGTAGGATATCTTGGGAAATGAATGTCAGCCAAGGTTAGATGAAGCCCCAAAGCTCCATCACAGTGACAAAACATCTTCAGCTTGCATTGGAACCTGTGGCTCAAGCTGTGGTACAACAAAGAGGAAGGACACGGAAGGAGGTTGAACTGCCAGAGCCAATGCATTCTGGCAAATCCAGTATGTCCATAGCCAGAGTGCAGAGAGTGCTTGTTATGCACGATCTGTTTCACAACCACGAAACCCCTTTTGTACCCTGTGATCGCTGCCGCAATTTATCGATGGCAATCTGCATCCTTAAAACTTCATGTACCGAGGAATTGGACATTGAATATTCATGCCTTTGTTGGTGCTTGGTATGATGTCATGACAACATCAATATAATGCTTTTGCAGTTGCTTGCATTACGCTGTGTGCCCTAAATCTGTATGTGCAGTCATTGCCCTTGATGGGCTCTTTCTTCTGGAGTTATGTTGGGAATAAATAACCCCGTTGTTTACAAGGTTTTTTTCAATCATTTCTATTACAGCATTTGTACAAAAGTGTATTTTATGAGATTGCACAATCACTCCCTGTGACGAAATAGTGCATTTTGTTCCTAATGAATTAAGCTTTCCAGTAGTACATGTAAGTCAACATTTTGTTGGCCGGTCTTAGCCAAATTCATAACAATTCTTTGAAAACTGATTTATTGGAGGGAAGAGAATAAAACTACAAACTTTGCACGGAGAATGGAACAGTGTATCAAAATTTAAAAATGTTATGCACTATGGCAAAAGTAGGTCTAATATCAGGGATTTTTTCTCTCTTTGTTTCCCGGTCACAGCAATAATTTGTATTTAATTGCAAGCAAAACACTACAGACATTGCCAGGATATTACTGGCCCAGCTTGTCTAGTTAAGATGCAGGCAGTAATTGGGCATTTTTGAAATGTTTTCTGTTTATTCATCTGACTCGGCGGTGACGATCACTGAACACTTTGAAGTGCCTGAGTTGCAACTCCTTCTGTGTCCTTCGTCTATGGGTATACACACATTTGGAGAGCCTGTTGTTTTTTCATAGAAGAACAAGCATGGGAAAGTTTAGCAAAGCTGTCTGACGAACCAGCTAAGAGGAAAATACACTTCATGTCCATCACATGATCAGGCTTCCTGCACCTACAGGACAATTAAATTCCATGACTTTTCCATGACCAAATCATGGAAATCCATGACCCAATAACACAATTTCTTGGGAATTCAGACTTTTAAAGTTGCAAGACTTTAGTCATTTTAACAAAATTCCATTGCTTTTCCAGGCATGCAAAATGAAAACGAATTTCCATGGCTCTTTTAGGATTTTTCCAGGCCACAGGAACCCTGGACCACGACCCATATATCCTGAAAGGACTGTTCACAACCATCATGCTTAAAACGCTTCAAGTAGTCCATCTGAAACTCACGTCTGGTAGCTCGTTGTCTGGCAACCAGATTTGGATCTTGTCAGATCGTCATGCGTCTCCCTGTTGCCTGAGCTGTCTTTCGAAATCTGTTGAGGTAATTTCTGCAAAGTCAGTGGTAATCAAGAGAAATACACAATGATTCATGTAGACTGTGTTAAAAATACACCAGTCACTTTTAAATTTCCAAAAGCTCCTTAACAGGCCAAGGATGAAATAAATGTTTGATAATGAAGCATTTGGTACCAAAAGGTTGTGGGATTTGGTTTAATTAACATGCACAATCAATGAATAGTTCATTTAAGGAAATGACATCAATGATCTGAAAAAACACGGTCAAAGACAGCAAGCATACTGTCCATCATTAAATTCACGGCTTACTCTTCGAGCTGGTACTCTTGGGTCTTCCTTCGACATAAATGTGACCACACAGCAAATGAGGAACGGGAAAAAGATGGACGTCCAGATCTGAAAGTCAAAGCACGACAACTTTGGAATTGCGACATCAATCTGGACATGAACAAGCTTAGTATAACTTCTCCTAACTTCATATGAAGCATGTTCATTTCAAGGCGATGATGCAAACAACATCCACAGGGAAACCTACGGATGTAGTTTCAGCTGTATTTGACAAAGGATCTTGTTCTGGGTATTTATACTATAATGACTACACTCTCTACACGCCAGCTTATGCACTGCCTACATCTCAGTTGGAAGAATTAACATCTTTGGCCCATCTGTCTTCGGAAATAGAAAGCTCTCGAGAACAGTACGGATGTAAGTCCTTTCTAGCGGTGACTTGAAACCGAGTCAAGTCTTTCGGGCCCAACAGAGTCATGTTAACTTGAGTCTGAATGACAAAGTCATCAATGCAGCATGTTTGAGCTTTCACAAAAAGTGGTGTCAACATGCCTGCGAGGTATCAGACGAACGCTTGAAACAATGGAAAACTGCATGAGTAAGATAGCAGAGAAAATGTTTGATGGGTGTGTAGTGTCATATCACATGTGCATCTAATCATCTAAGATGCAGACACACAAAAATTAAGGTCCAATGAGGCATGACACATGCAAGGCAAGTACCTTTCCAAAGTCACAAAGTTAAAGAAGGCGTACCCCTTGCACATTGCAAGTAAAAAGTATCATTCTTCTGGTGAGACCCGAGAACGGTCCCTGGCCCCCATTCCCTTCTTGTAACTATACCACTTTTAACAAAAATGTAAAATGCCTCAACCTGAATTTGATTCAGCTCCTTTGACCCCTAAACGGCAGGATTCTTTTGACCACGACTGCTGGGCAGTGGTATGCCCTGAATGGAGGGCTTTGTCCAGCAGCAGGCCCCATTGAACCAGCAGCTGCATGGTGAATAGACTGTATGTGAGGTATGCACTAATCCTCACACAAAGGTGCTGTCGTAGCAGTCGTCCGTAGCGAAGGGGTTAACTTCACAGGAATTCACCTTGAATAGTCCCGTACGTAGAGACAGTCTGCCCATCCACAACTCGTTGAGCAGGTTCTGTACGGCGGCGTGGGCAATAAACTGTTTGTTGCGGGCTGCTGCAGCCAGGTCCAGACACGTGGAGTTGCCCCAGTCTGGCAAGTTACGGACCAGCAGCAGGGACGTCCGCCTCCTGTCGCCCGTGTAGCACAGGTTGAGGAAATCGATGGCCATTGTCTGAAAATCCCTGCGGATTGGAGGCTCAAATGTTAGTGTCAGTCCGTCCCTTTAAATGGGTATTTTGATAGCCCCAATCCAGTCCCTTTTATAATCCTCATTAATACAAACTGGAATCAAACTGGCTTGCTCATTGGGCTACCAAGTTCACAGATTGACTGCAACTGTGTAGGTTGATTTATCTTTAACGAGTTAGCTGCACGCTGTAAGCCCTCCGTGTACAGCACCAAAAAATGCATTTCCAGACACTAATATTTGGTATAAAATCTTCAAATAATGACAACCTGCCAATATTGGTAGCGACATATATGTGGGTGTCACCCTTGCAAATATATGGGCATATTTGATTCTTCACTGTGTCTTCCGACCCTTTATGTGTTTTGAACAAAACGACCATTTAGTCTTAATGGTCTGGCTGCACGACATTCCATACTTTGAAAATTATTGCCAATTACCGAAATTTTGAAAAAAAAACAAACAACAAAACCTACTTGGCATGTTTGTGCATCTCGGCCGACTCCTGTGGGTCCTGCTTTTGTAATTCGGACAAAGCTCTCAGGATTTTACTGGCCAAAAGGGCGCCCCCTATTGACGGCTTGCCCAGCTTCCAAAAGAGCTTGGCCATCCTGAACCGGTGCAGCAGGACGGCCCACAGAAAGAGCTCCTGCAGGGGTTGCTTGAAGAAAACCGCGTCTGCCAACAAACCGTACCTGACTATCAGCTATTAATGTCACAAATATGTGGGGGGGGGGAGCTCCAAACTGCTCCAAAGTCAGGGCATGCTGAAACTAGGTTTTTGTTGGTCGGGGCACTAGACTTGTGTGCATGCGTGAATTAATTTAAGTCTTGATGTGTCATCAAAAAAAGTGGGCTGTACCAGTGACAAGCTCACATGATACACACATAATCGTTTACACTGTCAGCATATGTTTCCTTCAGATACCTGTCAGGCAAGCATTGTTGTCAACAAACGGCTGTATGGCTCATTCACTGTGCAACGCTTGCTTACGGCGACAAACAAGGCCAAAGTCCAAAATACCCAATTGGGACATGGCCTGACATCATCATGGAAGACCACAAAATACTGTGAGAGATGTGATAGGATTCAATGAATCTCTGGTATCGTCTGCTCACCACTACAGCGGAAATGGCTTGAGCTATAGTCAGACTCATAGGTGTCAAAGACCAGCTCCTTCAGTACGTGACCGACGTCCTCCAAGGAGAACTGTACACTGCCCCTGAAATGCTGGACGACAGTTTACCACAAAATAGATTCAATGTGTAAGACATAAATGCATACAAGTATGCATATCAACATTTCTGGTTTTCTCTTACCCTGTGAGCTGCACAACAGCATCTGTCTTAATTGGCTGCTGACAGAACTTTACGGCCAATGGATGCACAGAAATCACGATGAAGATTAATATGGACCAAGTGACAGGGACGGAGTGTGCATCATTGCCTGAAGGGGGCTTACTCCCATGCATACAACGCTTTCTCGTGGTCCCATGTGGTTTTACACCTCCAGATTAAAAAAATTACGCTCATTTTTACTGTGTCATGCCTGCTTGTTCATGTCTGCGTTCAGAAGTGTGCCAAGCCCATGGAAACCTCTTGCGCAGTTGGCAAAAAGTATCTCTCATCCATACAAAGATTCACATTACAGTTGATAAATAGTTTGCACACTGTGCATGGTTATCTGTGTTTGTACAGCCATTTACAACACTTGATTTGGGGAATGTAAAGATGTGCAAATCTATTAAGGGGTCATCTCAATATTTGTCTGGGACAAGGTGTGTCTTGTTACGTAACATGAAAAACTTCTACAGAAGCGCATACATTAACTTACCCTTTTTGCTCTCTGCTTTTCAAGAAGACTGTGAAGAACATACGATTCCTGGCTTGTCTGAAAGGCGAGTCCACACATCGAGAAAATCAGGACTTACATTACTACACAAATTAGTGACTTGCAAAGCTTCAGTGCACAAATGGGAGTTCATTAACCTTCACAATCTTCAATTCTACAACAGGTGAAAGATTCAGCACTGTTCTTTCAAACAAATACATATGCTCCAATCAAATTCAGCACCAAACTACTTAGAGATATTGTCATAACTACATATACATATAAAGCGTTGCTTCAAACGAGGACCTTAGTCACCTGCTGTGCATGATGGTATATGTAATGAAAACTAAACGACTGTTATTAATTAAAGGGAGTCAACTGCAACGACAACCATCTCAAAATGGAGGTGCTATCCACCAATAAAGTCTGGCCCCTGGACGGCCTGGCCAGGTTTAAGTTCCACCTGTTTCATCAGCTGAGCCTGTGGCAGTTGTTCAGTTTCATCTAGTGTGTAGGCAACTAATACACCCAACTTGCATGGGAACAGTTGGGAAGGAAAGTGCCTCAAGGTGACTTGATTTGCCAATCAAGTTGATGGGGACCATGGCCCAGGACAGAGCAGAGGCTAGCTGGCAGTGGAGAGACTTTTGTTCAAAGCACGAAATCAAAAGGGCCCAAAACGCCCCTCCTTTGCCCGAGGGTGGCCTGGCTATTCAAACCGTGAAGCCACCGTTTCCGGCTTGCTCCCCAAGATCAAAGGCAAGTCAGACTCTGACCACACAAAATCTAGTGGGACAAATTTGAGCAAATGTTTTTGTGAGAGCGATTTTGTGTTGGTCCCTGCACGGCCCTTGTCGTCCGGGATCTCACCTCATTGTACAGGTCAACCAGCATCTGTGCCGTCAGGAACTTCTTCACGTCCATGTTGCCCTCGGCAATGAAGAGCTTGACAAACTTGGGCTGGTTGTTGACCAGGGCATAGTAGAAGGAATCTCTCAATTCACTGTGCTGGTATGGCATGCAAGTCATGACAAGAGGGAAACTGCTTTGAAGGAAAATGAAGGTGACAGCAACAGGCTACCTGGTACGTGAACCCAAGTCAGAAAATATCCTACGTCCGACGTTAATATAACGTTTAGAGGGACAAAGGACACAGGGCAAAAAATTTCATGGTTTTGAGTCAGTGAGTGTGCATGTATTAAAAGTGAAACATCTGTACACTCTTCCCACTTAGGATCGGGGTGTACCAGTCAGAGTGCAATGAGTTTTCATTCCCTGTCCTATCCCCCAGTTTTCTTTGTATTAGGAAAAACCAAACTAATCAATGCCCAGTGCCATGACCGATTTCCCTCGATCTGTCAGCTCATTTTAGAGAAATGTTCTCCACAAGCTGTAGAGGCTCTATCTCAGGTTTAGAGGCCACTTCAATCATTTCACATGAACGGCCATGAGAACTAAGCCAATCTAATAATCTGTACCTTCCATTTCCGGTGTGCGAGAAGTTCCTTCTTGGCCAGATCTATCCTGTTCCAGATCACAGCCAGGTGGAGGTCGTCCTGTGCTTTGCATCCGCGGTTGGCTTCGAGTAAAAGTACGGGAGTGAGAGAAACCATCAGTTAATGCTAGGAAACCAACTGTTACCCCTATTCAGATCATAGTAGATTGCGCTGTCTGGCAGGAAGCATACTAAGCATTTAAAGCATATAAACCACGGCAAAAAGCGGTGATACGAAACAAAGCCGGGGTGGAAAGCACCTGCAAAAAAATTTAGGAGATGGTGGGGTCCGGCGGGAAGATTGTACGTGTGCACAGAGTTATAATCACTTCATTTTGTTCTAATTTGAACGCACGATAAGCTTCCTTCCAGACAATGCAATCTCAAGTGATTTCTCATTTCGCTAACAGTTCAACAGAATCATAATCAAACATTGTTCCAATTATCGAGCTTGAACAGCCTTAATCACTCTTTCAAAATGGTCACATTTTAAATTTGAGGTCTAAAAGTGTGACATTTATTAGCCTTATTAACATGTAATTATTCAATCAAATGGTGAATGCACTGTCAAAAACCTACCATTCATTAGCGCTCGCAATATGGCTTCGTCAATTCTGAAGTCTTGATCACAGACATTGATGAGATGACGTCTCTTGATAATCTCTTTGATTAGGTCCTTGGTCCTCACGAAACATTTAGGATCCAGGCTGAGCTTCATCTTTATCTCGTGGGTAATTTTGACATCAAAGGCTATGTTATCTTCTCTGCAAGATGTGTAAACGAGAAGAAACTTTATCAACTAATCAGCCCTATCATCAACAAAAGACACAAGACTTTGATTACGATGGATTGCTTTCAAAAACCACATGAAACTGCACTGTACCTAAATATTTTAACTTGACCTTTAAAACAATTGCATGTTGGCATTAAGGGCCATTAGAAATGGTACGTACACAGGAGCTATGCTGCTTGGAAAAACTTGATGGTTAGATCAATTTTGCATTATTTTATCCCACATGCTGAAAATAATATCTATTTTACATCAACTGGTTCACACACCCTTACATATGTATACTTGTGGGGTATTTCCTTTGTTCTCGTGTACAAAACTCCCGCACAACACGGAAAAAATTTCAAATCACTGCCATTTCAACCAAAGTCAGTTTCCTGGGTTGAAATTTCAACCGTATGTCCCTTGTATAAAACACTTCAATTTGCGACAAGACGAATGGCACTTGAAAATTCCTCCTTTTTGAGTAAATCTAAAATATGTATTTCTTGAAATTCTTATGGGGTACCACTTTAGTACCCTACAAGGATCCAAACTGGCCTTGTGGGGTACCTCCCATTGTTCCGGTACCCCACAAGGCACCCTGTACAAGCGCATGAGTACACACGCAGGTGCTCGAAATAACCACACAAAATGATGCAGCTACCACCCAATTTGTTTGAGCCGCATGCGCATCTCCCTAATAACTCATTAGGACTAGGTACACCATTACATGAAGATAATAACTACTGGCTTAACTTCAATTTCCGGACAAAATTTCTCCACGCACCCTGTCTGAGGCCTACTGTTTATGGCAAATGTCAGCACATCCGCTGCTCCTCCTGAGTCTGGAATGACCAAGACTGGGATCTGGTGCTTGGTGACGGCATCATTAACTGTCTGGATAGTGGAATGGTCACCGCCAAAGACCACATGCAAAGCCGGCACAGTCGCTTTCGTTAAAATGGGGAACAAAGTAGATATTCTTTATGATTAATAAGAAGTTTGGCAGAAGGTGTCTGCATTTCACAGATTTAAGTCAACAAAAATTTTTTAATTCAAATTCTGCACATCTGAGTGCTGGAAGCTGACATTCATTAACATGTGATGCCCACCACTTACCGGTACATGTACAGAAACTTCAGTGTGTTTTGAGACTGGAGTTAAAACTGAATACTCTGACTGATGTAATAAGGAAGCCTCCTGACGCAAATGCTTTGTGGATCACTTCAGAGGCTAGTTTTACAACCATGGTAAAGCACTAAATATTTCTTTCATAACACCTCTCACAGTGATTCCCTATATGTAAGAAAACATACTTATTTGAAAATCAAATTTGTTGAAAATAGATGCGCAGTTTCCAAAACTACCTCTTTATAAAGTGTAAACCCAGCCCCTAACACCCTACATGTATTTTCAACTGCCTGTTATAGAACAAATCTTGACTAGTCAGAACTCAGCTCTTGGTACTTGGTACTGTGATGGCATGGCCTACAGAAAAATGTCCTTACATCTGCCACTTAAGATTGTACTGTGAAGATACACATCATTAACATGACATTCAGTCGAATATTCGGACTGGCAAAATGCTACTTGAACATTTGGGTGATGTAAACATCCAGTCAAAGGCAGTCTCAAATTTTTAATAATTTATTCACACATGTCAGAGTGAGTTTTTCTAACACGAGGATTGACACCAGGCTGTAGGTTATTTTGGGTCTGGGATATCTAAGCCATTTTCCAATACTCGACTTGGGCTCCGTCTCAGGCTTCAGCTGTTTTTACTTCCTGACTTTGAGGTTGTAAGCGCAATAGTAAGTCTGATAGTGCCACAAAACATCAAGTAAGAGGCAAAAGAGACAAACATTATAACACTTCAATTTCATTAAACGCTTCAGGCCCACAATCGGGGATTGGTTTCCTACACGAAGCCTGAGACGGAGACGAAGTTGAGTATTGGAAAACACCCCTGGTTAAGATCACAGGTTAAACATTACAAGGTGGTTTTGGATACTAGCAGAATCTTTTTTGCATTTGTAAATTTCACGTCAGCAGCCAGTTTAAAGCAGTTTTCCCGATGCATTATACATTTGGAAAGTGGTAAGTATAACCAGTAAGGACAAATTCCCTTTATGAATCTATTTTGAAAGTGTTAAAGTATATTTAGCTTGGAAAGTTACTGGCAAGTACAGGCATCTTACCCGATTGGAGAGAACAGATTCAACATCAATAATAATGTAGTTGTAAAGATACACCAAGTGGATACAATTCAATTAGCCCCATTCTGACCCAATGCAGACTGGCTCCCTACCATTACTCCCTTTGATCTTGCACTTGGCGATCATGTGCACCAGCTCGTTCCTTATGCCAACCTCATCGCCCAGCTTGGAGTCCGTGTTCCCTACCAAGATGAAATGGGTGTGGTTGGGCTCCAGGTGGTGGGTGGGGGCACTGGCGTCATCACGGCAGTCATAATCTCCGTCCCCTTCATTGTCGCTGTTGTTGCTGTCCCCATCCATGTTGTACATGACTGGCATTCTCTGAACGAGCAGTCCAAACCACAAGAATCATGTGACTTCAGTGCTATAGATTGTGTATGAACCTGTTCAAGAATTTAAACTGATTTACCTGATGCGAACAACGTTCAAACTTGTATCCTCAAATCTGCATATTCTCCAAAATCTGCCTCATGAATTCAACAGATGAATGTTGAACAGCTCAAATCATGCTATCACATCTGTAAGGTGATTCAGACTGCTACAATGCTATGATCGATATTAACCCTAACCTTCCCCGACCANGTGTTTAACTTTGTGTGAGTGGGGAAGGTTAGGGCCAGCAACCTTTGGGGGATAAGGGTTAATTTGGGAAATCATACTGTGACTCTGATCGTCTTCCTCGACTTTTTCTCAAATTCACATCTGGGAGGTGACTTTTGTCCAGTCATGTTTTTGCAAAACAACAGCGAAGATACAGCTCGAGTCAAGCCCCAAAGGGATATAGTACACAATTATGAGCTACCGGGATGCGCAAACGTACCCTATTATTGTGATAAAGATGGAGCTGTAACTGACAACTCGGGTTTCAAAAACTCGACAGATTTCAATGATTTCCGGTAAACAAAATTTGTGTGCACTTGGTGCCATATGCTTGTAAACAGGTACATGTGAATTGGCAGATGGTGTGACATAGCAACAAACGTAGCCATTGCTAGACAACGACAGTAACTCTGTAGTTTGCAAATGGAGACCATGAAAAGTTGGATCCAAGCAAACAGCAGGTGTTTACCTCTGAACCTAGCAGCTTCTCCTTCTGACTGACGATGCCTAGAGATGCCACGCCCACTGCCACGACATCCCGGTGTTTGACCATGGCTCGGCCGATGGCATAGTTGGTCAACGCTTGCCCCATCCTCTTCATCATACCGCAGTTGAGACCACCGGTAAAGAGCCACACATCTATTGACACCAACACGACAATATGACTGCAAGCAATTAACTATCCCACCAAGGGACAACAGAGAAACAATTTTCTGAAGAAAAAAAAAACCGAGTTCAACTGAATTTTTTGTGGGGGGGGACCAAAGATGCTCAATGGTTAAAAGGTCTCATCTCATTGCAGAAAAATGCTTTGGAAAAAGAACCTTACAAACTTCAAGTGTACTTTGTGTCAGGGACGTGTTGATTTTTAATTACGGGTTTTGCACGATGCAAAGTACGTCCTGAAGTAGTGTGCGACACCTGCTGCTACATCTGACTCCGACCAGTCAGGCGACCCCCGGAAAGCTCAGTGGCCAAGAGGTAAAGACATCTGTACTAGTAAGCAGGAGGTCATGGGTTCAAGTCCTACCCGAGTAAGCTTGTGAATTTTTTCAAAAGCTCTAGAAAAAATCACTGAGAACACCGTGTTGTGAATACACAGTACTTCAGGTAAGGGCAAAACCCGAAATTAAAAATATCTCATCCAAGTTAAGATGTACACCTGAAAGAATAAACTCTACATAGAACTTTCCAAATTGTAGCATTTATTCAACTTGAGATATAGCAAACTTAAAACATCTTCATGTAATCCTGTCTAAACTTCGCCGCTCAGCTGTAAGTATATGTACAGTACACATGCGTATATCCACACAATATGGAACATATAAATGATAGTTGAAATAGAAGACTTCAAAAGACCTTGGCAGTTTTCTACTTTATCACAGCTCCTATCAGGCCTTCCCCATCTGCGACACCAGTGCACCCTCCCTAAAAACGTTGAATTCATCCCCTGGAAACTACACCTATGCGTACAGGTTAGAGGTACTACATAATCTCAGGTTTAACATACCAGTGCTTAGCACAGCCTCAACAAGACCCTTGCAGAAGGCCTTTTTCATGGCATAGTTTCCCTTGGTCACCTCCTCACCACCTCCCAGAATGCTGATCAGTAGCTTCGGGAAGTCCAGACCCCACTTCTTAGAGAGGGCACTTACCACCACATCTGGGTTTTCATCAGGCTGAATGGCCAGGTACTGTGCAAGAGAAACGTATACATCAACGGGCAATTGGTAATGTTGAATGGTCACATACATGTAAATGAGCATTCTCCAAGTATGGCAAAGTTGAATGAGACACATGAATATGCTAAAATATAGGGATGTTCCAGATGCATTGATATCAGCAGTTCTTGGTAATAATAATTAGACTTGCCAGTTAACTTTATAACTCCATTTATGAACTTAAATGTCCAGAAGTCATAAATCTGGCCACAAATTAATGTTAACACAAAGGGCATTGATCTTTTTCAAGCACTGTATGTAATCTCCTAAAGCGACAATTTAGCTGAATATGAATGACACTCTGGCATATATGGCTCATGAGACTTCCAACAGTCTACTTAAATTAAACAAGACAAACCAGCAAATGAGACACAAAATCAATATCCCCACCCCTACCCCCCAACAGAAAAGGTCTTATGGTGACCTCATTGGCCAATCAAGCCCATTGGGAAATAGCACACAAACACAGGGAAGGAAGTGATCTGCAGACATCCTCCATGACCCCAATGTACACGCACTATGTACTGCAAACGTGTACAGAAAATGTAGTCCTACCTTACTCTTTGTGTATTTATGGGCTTTCTTTGATTCCAAGAACTTGATGTTGCCACTCAAATAGTCTTTAGTGAAGCCATAGTCATAGCGAGAAGACTGCCGTGTGAAGCCCATGCCACTAAGCTCAATGCTACATTGTATGCAAAATAAACACGACTCTTGGATAGACATACGTATGAACTCAAACTTACATACAATCATTTACATGTACACTTGCATGCATTATCTCAAATAACACTATAAGTAGGCGACATGGCAATGGCCAGGATCCTTGCAGCAAGGTGCTGGTACTGTACTGTACTGCACCATCCACCTTTTACTGACTGTGTTCCTGTGGAAAATCGGGCAAAGGGGTACGGCGAGGGAAGGGCTTGAAATCATGTAATGCTTGAGACACTGTTCAAAATCTTGTGCGATTGAGGAGGTTGATTAAAATTGGAAGAGAAGATGCCTATAAATTATGTACATATTTGTTAACTTTTCTGATTTGTTTCTTATTGCTCAACCAACTGACTGACTGCTTAATTGGCTACCTCCATGGATTAATTTAGGTTGATTTAGCATTGGCATAACTACTGTATGTATCTATAAATATTTAGAAGCCCTACCAAAAGGAGAATTAGTCACGCTAGTCCACATGTTCAAATTAGGAGGTTGCAGAGAGTTTGGGTGTGCATTTACTTGGGATATTTGCGAAACAACTTTCCAAGTCTCTGGAGCAATCCCGAAGGGGCTAATTAACACAATGAACATAATCTAATCTTCACCGTCCTATGCTTGCAGACGTTGGCAACTGACCCATTTCAGTTTGGAGAGTAGGAACGTTGGGGACAAATTACACTGTGTTCCAGCGAGATGATGCAAAACTTGTATCTTATGCATTTGGTGTGGTGCCAACGGACGATAATTTGAATGAGCAAGCTGACAATGGCAAGCTCGGCAGTCGAGTGGTGAGGATTTGACACTAGTGAGCAGGAGGTCGTGGGTTCCAGTCACACCCCAGCAAGCTCGTGAATTTTTTCACAAGCCATCGGAATACAGTGAGTATACAGTGCTGTGAATAATATACTTTGCTAAATGGTCAAACTCGCAGACTTTTGGCATATGAATAGGGACCCCAAGAACATTTCTATCAGTAAAACATAATCACACAGAAACATAAAGTTGTGGCAGATCCATTTGGATCGTGCCAAATGCCTGCCCACACAGTGTCTGTCCTTCAGAGTACTTGGCAAGAAAATTCACCCAAGAAGATGACGGAAATGATTCATCAATGCACAAGCTATCAAGCCTGACTGTGTATGTACGGCATAAGCTGACATACGTGTGATTCACAATGACAGTATTCCAGCTACTTGCATGCATGTACACGTATCTAAAGTTAAATTATGTGACATAAAAAATCATTTACAAACTTGTAACTTCAGCAGAGTAAGAGCAAGGAAACGAGTCACTAGGAACTAAAGTATACATGCACATCTTCTTGTAAAGCATGGGAAATTTTTGACAAGCTTGCTTCACAAATTAACTTGAAAAAAAATCCACAATGGGTCATTCCACGCAGTTCATTTAATTGTCTTTGCTTATTATATGTTGTCACATTAGCCAAAACCTCACAGATCAGTCATTTGGCCATAGTTTCGTCAGTCTCTTCTGAATGTGTAAAGTTATCAACGCGCATGAACATGACTTAACTACATGTAAGGTACCTATTCTGACGGGCTGTGGGGCCCATAGCCAGCAGTGTGGTTAGCTGAGCCTTCAATCCACTATGGCTCTTCTTGCCGACCTGACCGGTGACTGGCTCTTGGTTTGTGTCACATGTCCCTTGAACTTGGCTGCAGAAAAGATTGCAGAATTTTATCCATGTGCATGTAGCAAAACGTATGTCGTATGGATTATAGACTCATCTTGAAGCGATACCAGTACCATGGCATACCCAGTTTCACATCAGGATTGGAGCATGTTCTTGAACCTCAGGCATACGGGTGCATTTCTGCAAGTTGCAACACCCTTCTGGTCAAAGAGGAATTTAATACTTGCGCATGAATGTACATGTACATGCATGCCACTAGTGCAACGGCTCAGTAACGGCTTTTAATTCTGGTCAATCTACCGGTACACATAAATGCACAATTGTGAACAGCTTTTCAGAATGTTTTAATTTTTCTCCCCAGTCCAACAGAACCACATAATATTACGAGTAACATGTACAGGTTATTTCTTGGAGGGGCCATTAACATTGGCCAATTTGCACGCATGCACTTTTGGTCATTGGTTTTAATCAATTTATTTCTTTTCGTTGGTTTCAGGTCTCAGGCTAAGAGATCTTGATATTTCAATTCCATTCTGTTTTCCATTTTTCTTGTTCAGAAATCTGGACGTTTCTGAGTCTCCATCAATTCAGCTCCTCGTAACGTTTCCTTCCACAGTAGTCATCTAGTTTAGTTTGTTACTGTGAGTTCCCCCATGGTGGGCATATTTTCCAGGTACAAGGATTACCTTTAGGATCATTCTACCAATGACTTCATTCCAGCATGAAATGGTGAAACTATGAACATGTGCAACCGTGCAAAACATCTTTTATACTCTACCCTGAGAGCACATCAAAAAAAATTATTACCAATAAATCCATTAAAAAAGGGAAGCTGAATACAGACCTTGAGTGAGCCTGCTCCAAGTCAGGCCCTTGAACTGTAGCAATATAGGACTGCTGTGGCCCTGGATTAAGACAATTGCAGCAGCCTGCCATGACTGCTATCAAAATGGATCTGTGCGACTGTTTATGCTGGCAATCAAGCTACCAAGAACATCACGGCTCCCAGTGCAAGTAATCTAAAGAAAAGGATACAAAATGCAAACTAAGAAAGTACAGGCACAACGTAATTCTTATCATGACGGACATAATGAGATATATCGGTACACTGGTGCATGTAATGAATCAAGCCATCATTGAATAGAGCATTTTATATGTCACCTTGTGATCTCATCATCCGCACTCCAGAGAAAGAATTAAACCAGTCACAAGCCAATCAAGTCAAGTGACAATTTGTTTACATGTGCGCTGTCCTATGGAACCAGAGGGCGCCAAGGTCCACTGAACACTTAAGGAAGGCACACATGTAAACAAAGTGTGGGCCAACAGTACAAAGGTCTATTCTTTGTCAGAACTTCCACCAATCAGGTCAGAAGTGAAGAGATACAATCAGAAAATGAATTTAAATTTGAATCATTTAAATACATGTAAATTGTGCGTGGACTGAGGGTCTGAACAACAGTTTTACATCCGATTTATCAATAGACTGGTACATTTATTGATATCACTTGATTAATTGATATCACTTGATAATGTATATGTACGTTGACGAGGTCCTATGTTTAAATTATTGGAGATTTCAATGGTGGAATGATGTTGAAAATACAGAAAAGGTGTCAAATCATCAACAATTTGAACAAACATCTCAGAGTGTTGTTTTTAACTCACTGGTTATAAAAGTTTGCTGAAAACTAAAAGACAATTCTATTTCTATGGCCACAAAGTGCCTGTGACTGAAAATCAAACATGTTCCACTCTGCGTTCACACCCTCCACTGGAAACTGACACCTCCTTCGATTAACTTCAAAGAGAATGAGTCTAACCTTCACCAAGCTGTTGCTGGTTAAGTATTGCATTCCTCAGCCTCATTTGCAAGCAGTGAGCCTTTTGCAAGTTAAATTTGAATAAAGATGAGCTTATTAGTCGCATAAGAGACATCTTGCACCAATGAACACTGTACTGCTTTCAACAGATAAAAAGGGCAAAAACCAGTTGGTCCAGAGGTGAAGGTCACTATGGACAAAGCTTGCCCTGAATCACTATAGCAACAGTGTCTTTAGTCTGGGGAAATTCAAATTGTTATTTTTTATGAGCAACCAGATCAGTTTACCAACTTTTATTCAAGTTCACCTTACAAAAGGCTTATTCCCATGGGCAATTTGGGTGGGCAACTTCAATTTTATGCTGACACTGTTGCCTCTGCTAGCATGAAAAAGTTGTGAACTTCCATTACATTGCATACGAATGCAAAATAAAAATCAGAGTGACCTTGAGTGTTAACACTGTAGGTTTACAGTGGGTGCTCTGCTGTGATCATGTTTGCACAGAAGATCACCGTTTTAATTTTCAAAACAAAATGGGAAAAAAATGGATTGTGGTTTTGACCGGAACGGTATTGTCCTTTAGCAATAAAATGCACGTTGTGTTCGCTGGCCTCTTTTTCATTGTTTTTTTGGTCAGTAAAATACCCTACAGTTGATATCCCCCAAAATGGGGTTTTGCATAACAATGTTATTGCACTGAACGACAGGCTTACATGTACTTGTTGCTGATCCTTGGACTACTCTCAATTTATTGCTTATACCAATTTTCCAGACAATAAATCATTCATCTGCTTCCCCCCCTCCCAAAGAAATAGTTATGTTCTAAGCATGACCTAGTCAGGAAAAGGGGACCATTTTGTATTGATTCTAAGGGACAGTTGACTGATGCATTCTGCTTTCAAATGTGCATTGATGTCATATGCATTGAAATCATCCAAGTACATGTAAATTTGCTTTAGTAAAAATCAAAAAGATAACACCACAATACCAAAAACTGAGCCTGAGGAAAGTAATGTTTGAACACACTCATAAACGCATTTTGGATTGTGAACAGTGAATGTTTGGCACATGTAGATCAAGCCCCCATCTGATAATGTGCCACATACATACTGTACTGTAAGTTCACCGAGGCATGATATCGCATCAAGTGCTGTGTTTAGCTTTTATGAGGGCCATAAAAAAACAAATGTACAAGTAGTCGATAAAAGATTTCCAATATTTCAATTTTGGGTAATTGAACAATCTGATAATCGGTGGATATTATGCACGAGGTCCAATTGCACTGAACTCTATAGTATGGATGCTAGTGCATCAGGATTTTCAAACTTTTTAAGCAAGCGGATAGACTGACCATGTTTAGGCAGGGAGCTTTTAACAATATACCGGTATGGACATCACTGAGATTCCCTTACAGTGGTTTATTAGCTATCAATCAGAAAGTGAAAGAAACATTTCCTAGAAAGTCTAATTTAGCAGGGGAAATATTGAGGCATTTGTGTACAGGGTTTCCAAAAATAAGGAATACCCTGGAAGCTCAAGGCCACCATGTTATTGTCGTTACCGGATATAAAAACCAGGCATGAACAGGGTACTTGCGCCGGTTGTATCCTCTTTCATTTTCACAATCCTGAGGATATCCTGTCCTGTGTCACTTAAGATCACGCACGCCCACCCAGAGCAGTGGTAGGAACATGTGCACACATACATACATGTAGATGTACATAAAACTGAACAAGCAGTGTTATACACGTCGTTGTAAGACCTCTTAAAGACAATCCCAAAACTGTACAAGACCATCACCACACCCCTCCCCAAAAGACTTCCAGTTTGAATTCAACCCACAAGCTAATCAAATAAACTGCAACAAAAGCATTCCTCTGTCGTCGTTCAACCTGCTCAGCATTTCGTTGTGACTGATTGTGACTGGTCTTGTGATGGTCTCGTTTGAAATGTACGCTATCTTGGAGGACATCATTTTCAGTAGCTTCCTAGTCTTGATCAAACACTTCATACAGTCAATTTTTATTCAGACATTATCGTTCAGTATTACATTATCATTAAATTTTTATTACAGTACGATTGTTACTTAGCTGTAACTGACCCCTAAAACCTCCTACCAAACTGTGGTGTACAAAATTAATGAACATCAGATCACTGGGTGCAGTTTTTGAACCTCTCGAGCAATGTCGAGTGTAGGCCAATTAGTATCACTGGAAAAGCAAGGGCACTTAATTGAGTACACTACATGACAACTTAAAACACCAGAAAATGCAGGGGTGGATCTAGGAATTTTTCCAGGGGAGTCGGGCCGTAAGATTTTATTAATTATAAAAAGTCTGATTTCCTACCGCCGTCACCCTACCTAGATCCACAGAACATGCAGCTATAGGTCCATGCACAGACATACACGTACATGTAGGCCTTTATCAATGCATTAAACCGAAACGAATTAAAAAGGGATTTAAGTTAATTCATAAAGGACATGAAACGAAACTACGCCATCCACTCTTCGAAAAAAAAATCACGGTATAGGCTAAACGCGCAAGAAACATGAGAGAGGGACGTACACGGCCGGCTGCATGTGAAATGGTCGAATCTCCAAACCTAACACTATAAAATAGGCCAATGATGACTTGAAAGGTAGAAAAAGTTTTGATTCATCAACTTGATTTCCATGGAGAGACATGATGAGACCACGTAGGTTGGCGCTCGGTTTTCCTACCTCCATGATGAGACCAACTTAAAGTTCTTACCCACACGTAAGCCCACGACATGAACGTTTCCTTGCTGTGTGGTTCCCACCTGTCTGTTATCAGTCGCTAAATGTGCATGTTTGAAGAGTTTTACGATATGTACAGGCCGAAATAAGCTTTACTGGACATGTGACCGTGGCAAAACACGAAAGCCATCGACCAGTCCCCTTTCTGATTCTGTGCATGCACAATAATTACAAGCTGGACTCACGTGTCTTGTGACATGTGATGTGGTACATGTTACGTGCAACGTACGTACGTACGTGTACGGCCGGCTTTCAAAGTTGCTGGTGACTTTGCTGGTGACCGGGCCGGTGGCGCACGCGCACAGGACAGACCGAA